ATTGGTTTTGTTGTTTTGGTTTTCAGTTTGGTTGGCTGATTTTGTTTTATGAGTCAGGATCTCACTACGAAGCCCTAGCTGGTCTAGAACTCATTATGTAGACCATGTTGGCCTCAAACTCAGAGATCTGCCTACCTCTGACTCCTGAGTTCCAGGATTAAAAACATACCTGGCTAGTTGGTTGGTTTTTTGTTTTTGCTTTGAAACAAAGTCTCATTAAGCACAAATGGGCCTTGAATTTGTTATGTAGCTGAGACTGGCCTTTGACTGCTCCCCACCTCCCAAGTGCTGGGATTACAGGTGTGAGTCATCATGCTTAGCTTCTTTGTTTTTTTATAGCATAGTGTCCTTATTAATGTAAATAAGGGAGTCTGGAAAATGAAGGCAACAAGTTAAGAGAATCCAATCAATCATGAACAACATTTAGCAAAACACCATCAGCCAAGAAATCTACAGAGAAGCAGTGGAGTCTTCAGAGAACACAGAGGGACAAGGACAGCTGAGAGAACAAATACTTCTAACAGGTCAATTTGAGAGCAGTAGATCAAAGTGGGAGAGCTTTGCCAATTCTAACAGTGGGCATCTGAAACACACACAGTAAAACAGTCATGAAAGAACTGTTTCAGCCTGATGAACTCTCAAAAACAGTCCTGTTAAGGTCCTTCCATGACTGAAGAAAAACTTCTGTGACTGGGAGAGAGAGACAGAGACAGACAGAGACACAGAGAGAGACAGAGTGAGTCACAGAGAGAGAGAGACAGGAGAGGGGAGTGAAGGGGGAAGGGGAGAAAGAGGGGAAGGCAAGAGGAGGGGAAGGGAAGGGAGGAGAGGGGAGGGAAGAAAATGGCTCAGTAAAACTGGAGGAGGAAACAAAGCCAAACACCAATGGACACAAAATAAAAATAAAGTACTTTTTAAAATTAAGCAAAAGAAAAGGCATGTGATCAATGAGTAATGAAAAACCAATACCCTATATAAATGAAAAGTATGAAACAAAGATATGCCAAGACTAAGGAAAATATAAGTACTCCAAAATGACTTAAAAACATCAAGAAAAGGCACAGACAAGAAAGAGGCAAGGAGTGTAGCAGAGCATGCCTTTAATCCCAGCACTCAGGCAGGCAGAAGCAAGGGGATCTCTGAGTATGGTCTTCAGAGAGCATTCCAGGACAGCCAGGGCTACACAGAGAAACTTTGTCTTGGGAGAGGGGTGAGAGAAAGGAGAGAGAAACTCTCAAAAGTACCTGATATAGTGGCAGAGACTGGAGGGAACATAATAACTAATAGGACAAAAATGCCCCAAAAGAGAAAAGAAAAAAAAAAAAAAACAGGTAAAATGGAGACTGGAGAGATGGCTCAGTGGCTAAGAGCTCACACTGCTCTTACAGAAAATACAAGGTCATTTTCAAGCAACCACATCATATCAGGCAGCTCACAACTACCTGTCACTCCAGCTCCGATGTCTCTGACCTGCCCCTGTGGGAACATGCACTCACACACAGACATACTCACACACAAATAAACATGCATACACATAATTTAAAATAATAAAAATAGGGCTGGAGAGATGTCTCAACAGTTAAGAGCACTGACTGTTCTTCCAGAGGTCCTGAGTTCAATTCCCGGCAACCACATGGTGGCTGCCAACCACGTTGAATGAGATCTGGTGCCCTCTGCTGGCACGCAGGCAGAAGACTGTATAAATAATAAATAAATAAAATATTTAAAAATAATAATAATAAATCTTGACAAAAATTATTAAACTTTAAAATGTGTATATAAATACTAACACACAATAATAATAATAATAAATGAAAATAACATTTTTTAAAGAGGAGACTACAGAGATGGTTCGACCATTAAGTCCTGGCTGCTTCCAGAGAACCTAGTTTAATTCCCAGCAACCACAAGGCAATGGTTTCAGTTCAGGAAATCCAAAGCCCTCTTCTGGCCCCTGAGGGTACTGCATTGCATGCACATGGTATATGAACATACATGTGGGCAAAATGCCCATATATACAAAATAAAAATAAATAAGGAAGGTAGATAAATTAGGGATAACATGAAAGGGAGGGAGAGAGGTTAGGAGGGAGGGATGGGGAGAAGGAAGGAAGGTAAATTAGGGATAACATGGAAGGAAGGAAGGAAGGAAGGAAGGAAGGAAGGAAGGAAGGAAGGAAGGAAAGAAGGAAGGAAGGAAGGAAGGAAGATAGGGGCTGGGCGGTGGTGGTACACACCTTTAATACCAACAGTCAGGAAGCAGAGGCAGGTAAAACGCCAAGTTCAAGGACAGCCTGGTTTATGGACAGACAGATAGACAGACGGACGGACAGATAGATCAGCTGGAAATAACACAAGTCCCTGAATAAGAAAATCTAAGTTCAATTCCCAGCACCACAAAAAAGACAGACATCAAGGTAATAACAAAACAAAGTGTACTTTAAGAAAACTTTGCTTAAAGAAAAAAAAAATTTATCTGGGCATTGGTGGCACTTGCCTTTAATCCCAGCATTTAGGAGGCAGAGGCAGACAGATTTCTGTAAGTTCCACAAAAGCCTGGTCTACAGAGTGAGTTCTGGGACAGCCAAGGCTGTTATTACACAGAAAAAAAAAAAATATAAAAAAAAAAAAAAAAAAAAAAAAAAAAAAAAAAAAAAACTGGAAAAAATGTATTTTTTTCCACATTTTCCAAAAACAAAGTGGTACTTAAGACTCAACCCAACCTTTTCTCACCCCCTGGCCATGTTGGTAGCTTCTCTTGGTTGGGAAACACTGGTAGACAAAGGCAAGATTTTTATCACTGAACCTTAAATGACACCCCACAAATATACCATTCTTATTTGTGGATTTGAACTATTCTTGCTATTCCTGTTCAAATATATAAGTGAGTGTTATGTACACTGTTCAATAAGAGTTGAATAAGCGGGCTGGAGAGATGGCTCAGCGGTTAAGAGCACTGGCTATTCTTCCAGAGGTCCTGAGTTCAATTCCCAGCAACCACATGGTGGCTCACAACCACCTTGAATGAGATCTGGTGCCCTCTGCTGGCATGCAGGCACAAAACTGTATACATAATAAATAAAATCTTAAAAATAAATAAATAACGTGGCATAGGAATATGTACAATACACACACACACACACACACACACACACACACACACACACACACGCGCGCGCGCGCGCGCGCGCCATTTTAAAAATAGGCCAAGGGATCAATCATCTGGCCATCCTAAAGGGAAGAAGATTCTACTTTGGATGTTAAGGACCATTTCTGGCACAAGTTTTCCTACCAATATCTAAATCCTTCCCTTGTTCCTCCACAATACACACACCTCTCAACCAGTCTTGCACAGATAAGAGGAAAGAGTGGGTGGGCAAAGAGTCAGAACCTAGAATCGAGCACTTACTAAGTGCCACAGACACAGCTAAGCATACGTGATCTCATTCTCCCAATCATCTTGAGACTACTTGCACATTTCACAGAGTTTCCCAGAGGTTGAGAAATTTGCACCAAGATATTCATTAGAAGAGTTAAAATGCATACTCCCATCTACATGACTTCTAATGACACTATACAAAGTAAACAGGCTCACAGTCTCCAAGTTGTATTTGTTTGTCTAGAAAAGCCTATGCCTTCTTGAGCACACAGCCTAATTTCTCATTCCTCCATTTTCAAACTGGTGAACACTAACTCAGCAACCACCAGGTTTCATTAAGTATTGAATCCAGCCCCTCCATCCTTCTCGTTCTTGCTTAAATATAAAAGGAAGTTATAACCTGTGCTCATATTTCACTATCTTCCTAGTTGGGCTGTCTTACCAAATACTATTTTTTTTCCTTGACCCAACAATTTGTTCTCCAATCATTCAGGCTTTTCCAAGTCGGGAGTAAATGGCTCATATTCCCTAATACTAAGTCCGTTTTGTTGTTGTTTTTTGTTTGGTTGGTTGGTTTGGTTTTGGTTTTTGCAGATCTGTGTCCAGTAGTCACAACACCTGCGTTGGGAGTGGCAACAGTTACTTTTCACTTGGTAAGAGGGGAATTTAAGAGCTGGAGTGCAGCTCAGCAATAGAACATTTCATGCCTATGATTCCTGCTCAGTCTCTACCACCTTCCACCCAAGCCTGAAAAAAAGAGATACGTGGGTCTTTCCATAAAACAAGGCTAAGACAAAAGGACTGAAACAAACATTTATTGGAACGTTAAAGACTAAGCCCCTTCTGCTTATCTGACATAAGGAACCTAAGGTCCAAGAGGTTAGGTAACTTAAGCCCGTTAATAAACGGCTGAGCCAGGATTTACACAAAAAGCTCCATTCTACAATAACTGCCTTCACTTTTCCTAGTATCAGATTGCACTGGCCTCATCCCTCTGCTTTTCACAGGAAAACATGTTCATTTCCTCTACCACTCTTTGATCGTTACTAAGCACTGTTAAATGCAAGTAACAAAACGGCAACTTCTTTTCTCCAATATTATGAGAAGTATACATCAATGTGTAAAGCCTCAGTGTTTGATATCGACTCTAAAGAGTTATATATTTGCCTGAGATGAATATCGTAAAGGATTAAACATTCAAAACAGGCACTTCTACACAAATTTCAGCTTTAAAAACTCACAGCTGTGACTTTTCTTGGAGTCCTGGTGGGTAGGCAGAAGTTGCAGAGAACAATCTCACACAACTCATTGTTTTGCTTATCAAACCTTTGTAGGATGCCTAAAGTGTGGCCAGCATTTCAATGAAAGGGAGGGAAAAAGTTATGATCCTTAGGTACTGATCCCAAGGAGCTCCGAGGACTCTGGTCCCCATGCGTCCTCCAGGCAGCGCGGAGGATGCTCATCTCATCTACCTCCAGATGGGGGAGCGCCTCGGCGATGAGCTGGAGGCGTGTCCGCACCGGCGAGCAGCCCCAAGCCAGGTTCTCACTGCAAGCCCAGTTTCCTCTCAGCACCTCCCGACCCGGGCGCTCGTCTGCGTGCATCCACAGCCCGTGGTTACCTCGGGTTCGCGTGGTCCAGCCTGCACACCCACGACCCCCCGGGCAGCTTCAGGTCTAGGGCGGAAGGCCAGGCAGCCCTCAGGAGAAGGAGTGACAACTGAGGTAAGTCGATGGACTCTAGGACCGGGATGGAGAAAGTCTGCGAGGTGAAGTGCACAACGGCCACTTCCGGGGGCTGGGAACACGCGACGGGTCTCCGGGCGGCCGCGACTTTCTCCGCCTCCCTGGCCCCGCCCCGGCAGGCCCGCCCCTCGTCTCCGCGTCCCCAGCGCCCCGCCGCCCGAGCCGCTTCTCCTGGTTACGGAGAGAACGCGGGCTCGCGCTGGAGGGGGCTGGCCCGCGAAATCGGGCGCGCGCTCCCGCGCTGGGCGGACCAGCCTGCGCATGCGGCAGGGATGGGGTGCGCGTGCGCAGACCACACAAGTGGCTCGGGGGGGGGTTTTGCCCTGTGCGCGCTCCGTCTCCCAGGTTTCTGTATCTTCTTGTTGTTTGAGAGCTCCCGGAACAGACTGACGTGCAAATTTCCAGTTTCTAATCCCTTTTCCCTGCCTACCAAAGAGTAACAACCCATTCCTGCCCTGTAAACTGACTTCCGAGCTGGCTTTCAGGGCCTGGGAATCTCCCTGGGACCGCGGCAGATGACAGGGTCCCCAGGGAGAGTCTGCCCAGGCTTCGGCACAGGTGGCGGGCTCTCCCCAGTGCCCTCCGCTTGCACAAAGTCTGTCTTTTTCTTCCATTCCCTTTGTACCTCGGCTTGGGTGGGAAGAATGTAGGTCGGTGCTCTGATACTGTTGATAGTCTTTGATTATAAATATTGCAGGGCCGGGTTCATTGGCAAATAAGGCCTTGGAGCCTTCGTGTGTGCTCCATCTCTGCAAGATATCAGCCCCTCCCCCCCCTCCCATTTATAAAGAGCTTTGGTTCTCCCAGTAGCCGCTTCAGGGGATTGGATAAGCAAATCCTCTTTTGTTCCTTGGCTTTAGAAAGCCTATTCCCCGAAGAACAATGCAAATTGGCGGGATTTTGATGAAAGGTTTTATCCTCAACACCACTACCTTCCTCCACAAGTGTTCATACTAAATGAGCCTTTATGTTAAACTTGTCCCGCGTTGGTTGGAATCAGCCTGAACTAGGTGTTGCGGTGGTCCTTGCCTGCTCTCGATCTGAAAAGCTAACAGTCCTAAAAGCAAATGGATTAAAACTGATTCTTGAGCTACTGAGAAACTTTAATTGGTTTAAGGTCAGTCATTTAGTTTTTAGAAGGTCTTCCTTGCTTCTTAATACTTTAGCCAGAAAAGATAACTCCTTTAAAAAAAAAAAAAAAAAAAAAAAAAAAAAAAAAAAAAAAAAAACATCTGAAGGAAACAAAACAGTAGCCCACTCTACTTAGGAATCAAATGGAGAATTATGATAAATAATATTAGAGGTTTTTGTTGAGGGGTGACTTTTTTTTCTGTTTTGCTTTCTTGGTTTGGTTTATCATAATAATGAGAACGTTACGTTTTAGAAATCCCTATGTAGCCCAGTTAGGCCCCAAGTTTTGGATCCCCAGGCTTCATCCTCCGGAGCACTAGGGTTACAAATCGCGTCTCAGTAACATCACAGAAAGAAGTATTACAATGCAATAATAAATGTTAAGTGTATTACACTGTACACTTTAAAGAAAATTGGGTAACATAAAGCCTTTCAAACTTAGTTTACTTGGTTTTTAGCATTTATAGAATAGAGTGCATGTACCCAACAAGCTAGGTGATAGAAATACTTGCTGTAAGCCGGGCATTGGTGGCACACGCCTTTAATCCCAGCACTAGAGAAGCAGAGGCAGGCGGATTTCTGTGAGTTCAAGACCAGCCTGGTCTACAAGAGCTAGTTCCAGGACAGTCTCCAAAGCCACAGAGAAACCCTGTCTTGAAAAGCCAGAAAGAAAAAAAGAAAAGAAAGAAATACATGATTCAAAGTACAAGTGCAATGGGGATCAGAGAAAGGAACTGTTAAAATCAACCTTAAGCACATGGAAGCAATTTATGGAGAATTTAAAGTCTAGTGTAAGAAAGTAAAAGGTTCACCAAAGTAACAGCAAATTGGAACAGAAAAAAAACAGGAGGCTTTTGAAATGGTAGACGCTTTGTGTGCAGGGGAGAAAGAATAAAAGACTTGCTAGAGAAATACCTTCAATTAGGATCACCGAGAGCCTCTCAGGTCACTTAGCAACAAAGCTAATGAAAATTATAGTAATTACATAATAAATCTGATCACCTCAGAATCCTTAGAGAGTTTCTATTTTTCTCTGGTGGGTTACAGGTCCGTTTTCTGTTGTCTCTTGTTTGGTTAAAGGCTATATATATAATGAGATGCTCTCCACTGTTGTCTGCACTTGTCATTTCATCCCCTTCTCCTCTTTCTACCAAGCCTTTTGAGAGACAATTAGACTCACCCCAGCACTCTCTCAGAGCAGCTTACCACCTCAGTAATGACCTCATTACCAAATCCCAGACCCCTTGGCTTTGCTAAGCTTTCTCAGATTTCTCTCCAGCTTATGTGAGAATATACTCATCTCTCAACTCTCACCATTTTACTGCTAGTAAAGTCAGCCCTTGACTTTCACTTGATACCTGATAAGAATATTCAGTCCTGCAGAAGTGAACCCTAAGGTACTGAAATTTGATTATTTATATCTGAGTTTGAATTTTTAATTCTTATTCAACAGTTCTGCTTTAGTGTCTGGCAGTATTTGCTGATGCTGGTGGTTCTTAGATTTGTTTCTTTTCCTTTGTAGACAGGGTGTTACTGCACACAGCCCACGATGCCCTTATGACCATCCTGCCTTAGTCTTCCAACTGCTACAATTACCAATCTGTGCCACAATGCTGGTCTTGGCTAGCAGTATTGACATCTAAGTATCTAAAATTTATCTTTCTCGGTTATCATGAGTTGCCCAAACAATTTTTCTGATTTTAAAGCTTAAAATCTCAGGCATAAAGCATATATAATATCTTCTTTTTTTCTTTGCCTTCAACATCTGAATTCCTACACCCAAGAATTCTGCCTTCTCTCTCTGCCTTCAGTCTTCTTTCCATGCCTGCTCCTGAACACTTGTGTCTGGTCACTGTTTCTTCCTACCCTAACATGTAGGGCATTTTTAAATTGACAACTATAAGAGGAAAGGATCAAAAACATAAAAAAGTCAAAAGGAGGCCTGGAGGCACATGTGTGTTTTTGTGGCACAGGGGAGTGTTACAGCAGGCTGCACATGTGTGAGCCTCAGGGCTAAGCTCCAGCTGATTCACCTCCCCTTGACCCCTCCACAACTCCCCCGCCCCCAGAAGGCTCAAGCACCAGGTGCTTCATTATTGCAATGTTTGGTATCAAGTCATAGAACTGAAAAGCCTTGGCATAATTGTTGCTCTAGGTGGCTCTGGCCCTTTGTTCCTTCCATATGCTATAACAGAACCTTCTTTCTGAAGCATAGCTCCGACTATGTTGTTATCTTGATTAATTCTGGTGTCACCACATTGCTTACAGGATACAACTGAAACTTCTGTGTTAATCAAAAGACACTCATCAGCTTCTGCTGCCTTTCCAGCACTGCTTCCTTCTGGAAATCTTTCTCATTCTTGCTGGCAATGAAAACATACAACTGGACAAACAGGGATAGGCTTATAAGAAGTCTTGACATATACAGTTTAATACAAAAGCTTTAAATGCAGGTAACATTATAAAGCACACACTGTGTGCTAAGTTCTATGCTAAGGAGCTTTGCATTTATTCCTTTTTTTTTTTTTTTTTTTTTTTTTTTTTTTGAGACAAGATCTCTCTACGTAGCCTTTGCTGTCCTGGAACTCACTCTGTAGACCAGGCTGACCTTGAACTCACAGAGATTCACCTGCCTCTGCCTCCTGAGTACTGGATTAAAGGTTGTGTCATCATGCCCAGCATGTTCCAATTTTCAACAGTTGTTGCAGTGGCTTAAATGAGAAATGTCCCCTATTCCATACTTAAACACCTGGTTCCCAATTGATGGCACTGGCAGGTCAGTCTTAGGAGGCCTTGAAAGTACCCCACCATGAGTGGGCTTTGAATCCCTAAAACCTCATCTTACTTCCAGCTTTCAGTCTGCTTTGTGCTTGCAATTAAGGACTTGAACTCTCAGCTTCTGGTTCCTTCCACCATGCCTACCACTTGTTACCATCATGTGTCCCGACTCACAAAGGACTCTTATCCCTCTGGAAATGTATGCCAAACTCCTTCTTCCGTAAGTTTCCTTTAGTCATGTATCTTACCACATCAACTGATAACTACTGCAAATACAAATATCTTTACCATTTGTTTTGATAATGGCTAGTGATTTTTTAAAAAGATTTTATTTATTTATTTATTTATGTATACAACATTCTGCTTCCATGTATATCTGCACACCAGAAGAGGGCACCAGATCTCATAATGGATGATTATGAGCCACCATGTGGTTGCTGGGAATTGAACTTAGGACCTCTGGAAAAGCAGCTGGTGTTCTTAACTTCTGAGCCATCTCTCCAGTCCCATAGCTAGTGACTTTTAAAATGGGGATAATTACAGAAAACCAAGTCTGTCTAATATCCCCAAATATACAAAGAAATCTTTTTTGTCTTCCAAGACAGGATTTCTCTGTGTAGCCCTGGTCTTCCTGGAATTAGCTGTGTAGATTAGGTTGGCCTGAATTTACAGAGATCCCCTGCCTCTGTCTCCCTAGTACTGGGATTAAAAGCATGAGACACCACTGCCTGGCGAAATCTTTTTTTATGTAATTTATTTATTTCTAATTTTATGTGCATTGGTGTTTTACCTACATGTAGATCTATGTGAGGGTGCCAGATGCCCTGGAACCAGAGTTATAGATAGTTGTGAGCTACCATGTGGATGCTGGGAATTAGACCCCAGTCCTTTGGAAGAACTGCCAGAGCTCTTAACCTCAGAGACATCTCTCCAGCCCCACAAAGAAATCTTAAAACTCAATAATAAGGAAGTCTGAAGTAGCCAGACATTGGTGGTGCACACCTTTGATCCCAGTATGTAGGATGGATATGACAGGTGGATCTCAGTGCGTTCAAGGCCAGCCTGGTCTACAAAGTAAGTTCCAGGACAGCTAGAACACAGAGAAACCCTGTCGAGAGAGAGGGAGAGAGGGAGAGAGAGAGAGAGAGAGAGAGAGAGAGAGAGAGAGAGAGAGAGAGAGA